GCTGGAAGGTGGGGCTTAGCAGAGCCTGGAGCAGGTGGCTGGAAGGTGGGGCTCAGCAGAGCCTGGAGCACCCAGCAGAATGCTCCGGGACTAGTCAGGTTCGAGAGCACTCGGTCCCAGGGGATCAGCAGAAGCTGCAGCACTTGAAAAGTATCCAAGCATCATCCTTACATCCTCTTAGTAAGCAAGCCGCAGGCCATGAAGCCCAGCCCTGCCCTAGAGGAGGAGAACTCAGTGCCACCTCACAGGGGACAAGTGAGGAGGCTTTCCCATCCCCCCTTCACCTACCTTGTAGTGTTCGGTGAGAAGGGATGCCTGGAGACTTCCAGGCAGAAAGGCAGAGGGCTTTGGAGGGAGGCACAGTGGAGGGCACTTTCCCACTGGGGGCAAAGGTCAAGCTGTCCTAGGCCTGAGCGTTGGGGGCCTGCATCAGCCCTGGGGCATGTTTTCAGAACGTTGTGACTGTGCAGAGCTGGGAGTGGAGACTCGGGCCTGGAGTTGAAGGGATTCTCTTGATCAGCTCTGCTGCGAGGGTAGGAGTCGCTGGTGGCCCGCTCCGCTCAGTGCTCTGGGCGGCGCGGTGCGCTTCTGTGTTCACGCACTAACCCCTGGGCTAATGGAGTGCTATCGAAATTCTCTTTTGTTTTTGGTGGGAAAACTTTCTCCTGGTTGTGGGCCTTCTGCTTGTGGCTTAGCAGGGCTTATTTCCTTCAGTGATGTGTTGTATTTCAGGCCCTGTCCAACTTCTGGTTTCTTTACTCTGCTGATTTTCATAAGCAGCTTCATTTATCTCATGGCTTTACCTGTCACCCCGTGTAACCCTTGTGGATGTCCGGATCTGCCTGTCTGTCCAGTTGCCTGCCAGCGTCTCCTTCGAAGCCCCTGCTAGCCCTGTTTCTGTTTCTAAGGCTGCCTTTACCATGGCTGGGCCAGTGCCCCTGTGGCTCTCCCTTTGGCCTTCCCTGTGCGTCCAGACAGGTCACAGAGGGGAGTGAGTCCCTGCCTCTCCAGCGAGTCTGGGATCCCGGGAAGTGAACCTTGCACAGTTCACCTGGGGAAGTTCAGCTCTGACGGGGTGCTGGTGGTCATGGCTCCCAGCTGTGGCTGCCTGTGAGCGCCACCTGTGGAGCCGCACAGCTGTGCTCACCTGGGTGCTGAGTCAGCATGCCAGGACTCGGCTTTCTTTGTTTTTACAAAGCCTCCCTGGGGGGTCTTGATGTTCTCCTAACCCCCGGAAACAACTCTTAAATCTTTAGTCCTCTCCTTTTCACCACCAGTATTTTGTTTTCAGTCCTCTCGCCCACCCTGTGCTGTGCACCCTGCCACTGCACCACAGCATGTCAGCTGATGGCCCAACTCCTGCCGCCCCCGTTCTCCACCCCCTGAAAAGCTGCCCTCCTTATCCAGGTCTATGAGGCTGCTCTCAGCTGGCCCTGCCTGCCTGCCTGCTCTCCCGCTGCTTCCTCAGGAGTGCTCTCTGCTGGCCTCCTGGTCCCTGTAGGTCCCACCCTGTGCTCCCATCCTGTTCCTGGCTTGGATTCCAGGCTGTTCAGCTGATGCTTTCCCATCTCTCCTGGCATGCTCTGTGAAGCTCGTCCTTCTTATCCCGTGAGTTTTGTCAGCTTGTGTTCATGCCTTTCCCTCCTACAAGGAGAGGACTGTGATCGCAGGGAAGCTGGTGCTCGCTGATGCAGCTCTGGCGCTTAGCACAGTAAACATGAGATGAGTGGCCATGCAGCTCAGCCTGATGGGAAACTCGCCTTGACACTGGTGTTTCTAGTGCTCTGATAACTGTCTCCAATAGGATTTTTAAGCCTGTTGTCAGCTAGATAGGACATTGGAGTAACTAAGTAGGCTGGATTATTACTTACTTAATGTGCAATGTTTGTATATGTGTGCAGAACAATTTAACGGGAACATTTTTCCTGTGCTAAGGCTGACATTTCTTATACCTCGGCCCACAGTGTTAGAAGTTTGCTTTGTCTTGTTTGTTTGGTTTTTGTACCAGAAATCAAACTCGGGACCTTGTGCTTGCCAGACAGGCGCTTATGCCGCTGAGCTTTCTCCAAGGCCCTGTGTTTGTAAATAGCAGAAACCAGCCCTAATTGAGTGGCAGCTCACCAGAATTTCACTGACAAGCAACCTGCTGATCCTCTTCCCACTTTTTTTGCTGCCTGGCCTGCTCATCTACTTCATTCTTCACTTTCTCTGCTGCTTCACCACACAAATTGTGACATCACCGAAGCTGGAGTGTTTGTGCCCTGTAGCAGTAGCTGCTCAGAGGCGGGGCAGCTGTGTCTCCATTCCTGTGTGCTTCCCAGGAGGAGGCTGTCCTTGGCCAGCTTGACTGCGTGGTCGGCTCCAGGTGGCAGGGAGGCATCGCCCTGCGCTTGCCCTGGGACTTACAGGACTAACTGCAAGAAGTGGTACTGTCCGTGAGCTACTGGCCGCGGGTGGCTGCCCTCTGCCAGCACCACAGTGAGGGGCTCGGAAAACCTTGGCAGATCGTTCAGTTGGCATCTCGCTCTGCCCACCGTCGTGAAAGTGTGCTCCACACTGTGCACTGTCTTGGCAGTAATTAGTCTGAAAATTTCCCTTAATGGTACAGTGTTTGTTGTAAGCTGATTGGTGTGAAATGTCTCCAAACAAAACGGGTTTGTGACAGTTTTTTACTCATGGGTACTTCACAGTAGTGCTCACAAATTCCTTGAAGAAAATCATCTATACTTTCCGATCATGCCCAAGTAAAAGAAGTGAGTCTTTAAATAAACACTCTTTATTCTGAAGACATTTTTATATAGCTTGCATTCCTTTGTGATGGCAACAGATTGCAAACACAGTGGGAATAACTTCTAGGGCTGGAGTAAAACCATTCAGCTGCAGCTCCTGGCTCCGCTCCTTGCACCCCAGGCGCCCGTGATCTGGCTTCCGTCGTTCCCAGGGGCCGCAGACCCGGTCTTCCTATCCTGCTCACTGTACTCCTCTTTCTGGTAGACTGGAGAAGCGGAGAAGGCCCAGCCAGGTCTGCTGGGCGAGTCTTTGGCACAGGACTGCCCCAGCCCTGCTGCCCTATGTGCTGTCCTGAGGGAGCCTGGGCAGCCAGTGGCCCTCCATCCACATTTGAAGCAGTTCCCTTCCCTTTCAGTCATTGTTTTGAAGGGAGCCTTTGTCTGTAAAGGCAGAGAATAGTCTCATCTGTGTGGCAGTGCAGAACGGGGTCAGAACGTTCAGGACAGGTTAGTACAGAATTAGAACATGGAGTTGCAAAGCGAACTACTAGCTGTCTTCCTGCATTCCTTTTAAACTCATATCAGAAATCAGCTTGAAGACATTGTGTATTGTCCTGGTGACTTTTAGAGAGGGTTTTTTGTTTTTGTTTGAGAGTTTATAGATGAAAACTCATGTATAATTTGAGCAAGCTATTTTTTGCTAACCCAGCATTATAGGGTTCAAACAGCAATGAGGATTAACATAGAGAACTCACAGCTTTGAAGAATCCAAGGAACTAAATTTGGTCTTCTTAAACATAAAGAACTTAGAGATGCTTTAACATGATTTGAGAGTGGGAGATAAGTTTAATTAGCATGCTGTGTGCTAACTCGCTTGTTGAATAGACTCCCCAAGTGTTTCCCTGGGTCCACTCGGATGGCTTGGGCTGAGTCGAGCCAGGGCGAATGCGACTGCTGCGGGATACTCACTTGTCTGCCTAGTCAGAAGCTGGTAGCTGCTTGTACGTCACTGTTAAGTTTCTGGAGATGATTCAGATTTCATTACAGCTGAAATCTGCTTTGCAGCCCTTCCTTTTCGTGGGGTGTTTAGTGGATAAATCTTTATGACTCTTCTTACTTTTCCCTACTCTAATTTTCATGCTTAAAACTTTAAAAATCTGTAAGTAAATAGATTCCTTCATCTCTTTTTTTAGGTACAATGGTGCTTTACCTAGTGGAGACAGAGGACGGAGGAAGAGCCGCTTTGCCCTCTATAAGCGTCCCAAGGCAAATGGTGTCAAGCCCAGCACTGTCCACGTGATTTCCACGCCCCAGGCGTCCAAGGTAGGTGGTGGGTGTGGCCCGCAGGCCGGCCTGGGCCTGCAGCAGCTCACAGTTCTGGCTAGCTACTCGCTTTCCCCTGCCTCATTCGTATGTTGGATAGAGCTCTTCTCCCACCTCAGGCTGGACGGCCACCGGGAGAGGTTGAGTTGTGCGCGAGCGTGTGCTCTGCACACCCCTGGCATGCCAGCACCCTCCCCATCTCTGCTCCCACAGTGATTCACATCCAGATGTGACTCAGATACTGCGGCTGTCTTGGGAGGGGGTGGCTACCAGCTCTGCTGTTCAGATCCAGTGTGTTAGGACACAAAACAAATAGACTTATCAAGGTGTAGTAGTACAGTAAAAGATGCACGATGCTCTTTATCCTAAAGAGGTCTTGTCTTAGACTTGGTATAAACCTCACGAAGATTTGTTACTTCTCTTAATTAAGTGCAATAGGTACTTTCATATAACCTACATGTACTCGGGCCTGAATATATGTGATAATTATGAAGACAAGAAGCAAATTGAACTAACTGATATGAAAAGTCTTCTATACCTGTTAACTTTCCTATGCTTAATGTGAATAAAATACTAGCTTTTAGAAGGGATTATTTTGGTTTTTTGTGATACATAAGTGGTGCGAAGATCAAGTTCGCATCCTGGTTGGTGTAGTTTGCATATTACACTTAAGATAGTTTTTGTATGATAAATTCTGTGGTATGTCATAGTTTCGTCTTGCTATGAAGTAACTACAAGTGTCCACGGTGTGTCATGAGAGGCAGCTGGTTGCGCATGTCTGCACCATGAGTCTGCGCAGTTGGGAGTAAGGAAGCCTCGGTGCCCGATTTTGCCGGAAGCGTGTGTTTAGGGAGAAACGCTGGCTCTGGGGTGGTGCTATTGCTTTCTCAGTGTTACCGAAGAGCCCCCAAAATTCTGCACTGGGCCCCGAAGGAGAGGTCAGTACAGACTGGTCTGCCCCAGGGAGGGTGCGAATGGGTAAAGGGAGTACCAAGGAAACGGGGGGAAAGATTAATATTTTCTGGACAAGTTTTGGCTAGAAAATGTGGAAAAGACATTTTTTAAAAAGGAAAACAAGGAAAATCCAGCTTCATAAAAATGCTAAAAAGGTAAGTTAGCAACAAAATCTTGAGAGGCCAAAGAAATACAAGAAGTCATAGTCCAGAAATGTTTGGTAGAGAAGAAAACCAAGACAAATGTTCTTTACGCGTCCTGTGACCACCAGATCGTTAAGATGGTTAGAGAAGGGTCAGCTAAGGACTATGCTTAGGCAGAGCGCAGCAGCAGGGGTTCAATTCCCGGTGTGCTGTGCCAGCCCCGCCTGCAGGGCATGCTGAGACTGGGCGTGGCATCGTGCATCTGTAATCCTAGGGCTTGGGAGGCTGAAAACAGGAGGGTCACTATGAGTCCTCTCTGTGTGGTGAGACCCTGTTGACCCTGTACTAAATACATATTTTTTTAAAAAAAAGATAGTTAGAGATAGTCATGACAGTTTTGTCTATTTGTTGACATTTATCTTCTTTTTCTTGCTTTGGATCTGTATCATTTTATATGTACTTTTAAAAGAATCATAGACTTTATATTAATAGGATGGTTGACATTTCAAAGTTACAGGACTCAGGCTTTCATTACTCAGACATGATTTCATAAAACTTTGCTGCTGTGGGGGGATCAGCAAGCCTTCCTCCCTGCCCCCTCCCCTCCTGTTTGAGCCTTTCGTGTTTTACCTTTATGTCTAGATTTGACTGCAAGTTGTTTAGGTTATGCAGCTTTTGTCTCTATTTAGATGTACTCCCCCACCCGCACACAAGAGGAGTGGGGCAAATTGGGCTTCGGTCATGACCCCTCTGTTTCATCAAAATGTGGAGCAGCTCTGTTCCCGGGGCCTTCTGTGAGTCATTTGTGAACAAAGCAAATCAGCCACAGGCAAGAGCCCTGGGATTACCTTGGGCAACAGAAATTCTGGCTAAAAATCAAGTATGGAAGAATTATTATAGAATTGGGTTGTCATAGGGAGTGGTGGCATAACCAGGCTTTTTGAGAGAGGAGAGCTGGAGCGTTAGAAGCCATAGTGTTTATTCCTTGAGAGATTTTCTTTATTGTTGGTCTTTTTGAGATAGAGTCTCACTGTGCAGCTCAGGCTACCTTCAGCTCACTGTGTAGCCCAGGCTGGGCTCAAATTCCCAGTGATTCTCCTGCCAGCAAAGGTTTTAGGAAGTGACTTGACTCTTGCCAGCCTTCCCCCTCCTAGAGGTTTTGAATTTTGGGAGAGTCTGGTAGGCTGAGCCAGTGTCTCCCAGCCATGGCTGGGGAAGTTGGGTAGAACAGGCATATTTACTGTGAGCTGATCTCCATTCAGTGCTGTCTTGACCTTGTCTTCTGTGTCTACCGTGAGGGACCAGGAGGGTCAGTGGGTGAGTAAGTCTACACAGCGAGGAGGTGATGGATTTGTCTCTTCCGCCTTCTCAGGAACCTAGAGCCTCACTCACAAGTCCCTCCCTTGGTCTGCAGCGGCCTTGCCCTGCCACTCCTGCTGATAGGTCGCCTCTGCTGCCCTTCAGCTTCAGAATCCCACCCTGTCGTGAAGGAGCCCCTCCTGCATTTAAAGGACTGGTTGCAAATGTGCCTCTTTGATTGGAGCAGTAAACATGAGACCTAAAAGGGAGGTGAAAATTCGAGCACCTCCCTTTTGGTTAGGGTATTCCTTCCCTGTCACCTGTGGGGACAGCACAGGCACCCCATTGCTGGAGGTAGTGACAACAGAAGCAAGACCTTGTCTCCATGCTTGTCAGTATCCAAGCTTAGGCAGATGGAGGTGGTGAGCTTATGCTGCTGTTGTGTAATCTCGAGTTGTGTAACCTTTATTTGTGCACATATTTGCTTTTAGAATAATACAAGTATTTCTCTGATTATGTGGTTTTTTTTTTTTTTTTCTTTAAATTGGAAATCCTGTTTTACTTCTGGCAGGTCCGTTACAGAGGCATAGGGCCTAGTAATTTATTCACCCATTCATTTCTTCTACAAATATTTATCCATCACCTTCCACGGCCAGGCATCATGCCAGGTGCTGGATGGAAATCCGTGTCGGCAGCCTGCAGCTAAATCGCCCAGCCTGTCGGAGACAGCAGAGGCTCGAGCAGCGCGGATGGCACCGCCTGTGGAACAGGGGTGTGGAGTACAGTGGAAGTAGGGAGGACCTGAGCTGAGGGGAGGAAGGCTGGCCGGCCTGGGCTGGGCGGGCTTGAGGCTTTTTGTATGGGATCATGGCAGTGTTAGGAGCTAATGAGAATTCAACTGCTGTTTGAAAGCTCACTTTTTTGCTTTTTGTGGTTTGGCTATTTTGCTGTCATTGCACCAGAGAGTACTGGGACAGTGGTGTGTTGGGGACAATGGTGTAAGCACAGGAGTACGCACGTGGCTGGCCTGTGATGTGGCTTAAATTCAGCAGTATTCCTGTGGAAAACTATCAGTCATGGTTTTCCCTCCTCAGGTTGTGCTCTGTGAAAAATCCCCATTTTTGGATATTTTACTTTCAAAAAGTAATTGCACATCACTTTGTTCTGGTTAGCTGATGTCAGAATGGAAATTATTGGCGGCTTATGAGTGACAGTGTGGCAGGAGATTGAGGCTGTTCCGTTGCTGCCAGTGACTGAGCTGGCCTCTGTCCCCTCTTGCACTAATGCAGTCTCCACGCCCGGGTGCTTTCTGTAGCACAGAGGTTTACGTGGCTCGCTGTTGGGGCGCTGCGAGGCCTGCATGGTGCGGCACCCACGTCCTCCTCTGTCGCAGCCCGGTGGAGGAGCGGAAGGCGAGCTGACAGAGCGTGTGCCCGGAGGAGGCCAAGGCAGACCTTCTGTCTCCACCTCAGTCCTGTGCGCACCCACCTGCTCTGTCAGCCCACGTCAGCCCCTCTGAGGGTGGAACCCTGCAACCTGTCTGCCTCCCACGCAGGCCCGGGTGTCATGGAGGGAACCGGGTCACAAGCGCTGCCAAAGCCTTGCAGCCTGTTGGCATGGACGTGGATGCTCCGTGGGAAGTGGCACCTGCCGGTGTGGACCTGTTGGCTCAAGAGGACTTTGCAGAGTGCAGCAAGGGGCGCTGTGCAGCACCGACCACCCCCTCGGCCACGTCAGCAGCGATGCACAGCCCTCCTCACCCTCGCAAGAGGGCGACCCTTTCCGTGAGTGGCGGGACTCACCTTTTTATGGATTCTCAGGCTCTTTTTTTTTTTAAACATTTATTTATTTATTTATTTATTTATTTAGTGTGTGTGTGTGTGTGTGTGTGTGTGTGTGTGTGTGTGTCCAGCTCAGCCCACCAGGGGGTGGGGCTGGCTGGCATGTGGTGCTGGGGGATCGAACCGAGGTCCCTGTGCTTTGCTAAGCTTGTTCCAAGTAGGTGCTTTAGACCACTGAGCCATCTCACCAGCCCCATCTCAGACTCTTGATTGCTGCTGCTTTTACATAGTTGCGTTTTGAATGGTTCTTCTTTGGGTTTCTTTCATAGCCATGTACTTCTAGGGTTAGTAGTAGAAAGTGGTTGATGTTTTTAAGTTCAGAATTAATAAGGTAAATTACTGTAAATTTTAATCAGTTTAATGAAGTATTTTGTATAAAGGAATGTTTGGATAAGACTTTTTAGATATAAATGCATCTTATTTGAAAGAGAAACAAATGATGGTGTTTAACTACAATCTGATATCTTTTTATACATGTGGGATACAATCTAGAAAGATTTGTGTCTCCAGTGTTAAACAGCTTGGTTATTTCAATAAAAATACAAACATGACTCAGTTTCCAAAAAGTGAAATAACTTTCAGAATCTTTTCATCAGTGTTTGATGAAGTAAAAAGAACTTATGAAGGACCAACATGCTGTATACGGTAAAGCATAAAGTATTTACTAGGACTTCAAAATACAGATTTTACAGGAAAATAATTCAGCAGTTTAGAATTATAGTCCTGAGTGTTGCACTATATTCACTGAGATGAAAAACACTTT